TCGTCCCCTCAACTTCAGATTTCCTTCCTCCATTTCCTAGTTTGGAAAACATCATTGGGCAGCTGTGATCTGGCAGCAGTGCAGCAGTCCTTTGTGATCATTTCCCCTGGACTGTGGCTAATTTATCTCTACGTCTGTCCTGGTATGTTGATGCTTCAGGAGCACAAAAGCCCTCCGTAGATCTTCTGACAATTTAAGTGGAGTTTCTCCTTTCCACCAAGCCATATTTTTTTCTGTTAGTCCTAACAGTTTAGGATGTGGTTGGATGTTCATTAAGCTTGTATCTGTACACTGACAGAAAATCTGGCAATATAAATTTGGTTCAGTGGTAATCACAAATTTCTGTTAAATTAACCTAAGTACACAATATAGTCTTTGTGCCAGCTAATTCACAGGCTTGCTGCCTAGTATCCCAAAGTGCTTTGCAATTCTCCAGTGCTTTGTGAGATGCCAGCCCAGCTGAATTCTAGGAATGTTTGTGAGCAACTTTTCTAAGGACTTGGCTTCTTTTTCCAAAATTAGATCCCTCTTTCCAAAAACCCAGTGTTGCTGCCAAAAGGCCACTCCTACCTTGCTACTGCAAGGGTACTTTATAACCTTTTCCTTCCCACTTCCTGGATGCCATTTTCAGACCATGCTGCAGACATCTTCCAAGTGGCTCTTCAGTATCAAAACTTGGAAATAGCATTATCAACTAATTATGGACTGCATACAAGAAAAGAGGGGGTAGACAGAAAAGGAATAAGACATTAAGAGGATTTGCTCCATTTATAGGTAATTTTTCAGATCTGATGAAACTGCATGAATTGCAGATGAAGAATTTCCACTCCATGAAGATCTGGATGTGAGCAGTACAATGCCTAGTGGCATGAGTTATGCAGTAAAGATGAGAGGAACATCAGCAGTAAGAAACTCCAGAATGGGAGAAGTGATGGTCTTGGGTATCTGTAAACAAGCTATCCATTATTTGGCAAGTTAGATCGCCAGCATGACTCCTACTTTTCTATTGCCTATCAGGGTAGGAAAGTTGAAAGCTAGCACTGTGGTGTGGAATGTGACATCTCCCTGTTGCTTCACAGAGTGCCCAATCCACACTACTTTCAGATGACTGATGTGAAGAATGTCATAGGAAATTTTGCTCAGCTCCCACCCTCTTCCATTGTAACAGGGCTATTGATGGAAGGAATGTTACCATCTTCTGCCCTTCAAGCAGAGTTGTTTTCACAGTTTAAGCTTGGCAGTGGGCAGCACAATTCTTTTTAGTGTGCCAAAATCAATGGATTTACTATTCTTTCCTTGTTACTAGCTGATCTTAAATGCATCTCATGTCTTCGTTCATAAAGTATCCTAAATCATCACTGTTTTCTTCATAGTTTGGCTGCCAGAAAGGAGACTTCAAAGAGTGAGCCTGAAAACAGCCTCCATATCAGGATTGCATTTTAGTGCTGTATCGTGCACTAAATTTGTGAGTGTAAGGGGGAGCAGATGGCTGAAGCCTGGGAGTAGGAAGCTGAGATAGAATCAGTGCCTGCTATGGCTTGTTCATTTGTCCATGGGAACCAGGAGGGCCAAATTCTGAGGGACACTTTGTCAGAATGTTTTATGAAAAATACCTAGCTGCTTTCTGCTTATACATATGTACTTGCTGATTTGAAGTATTGTTTCTCTTGTTCGTGGTCTTTACTTTCTGTAGCTCCTACTGCCTGGCTCTCTTCCTTGATAGTTCATACTCTGAAGTATCATCTGTGAGGATCACCCTTTCACGAATCCATCCTTCATTAGGCCCCAAGAATGCCAGTGGAAACATATATGCCGAACAAAGAAAAATAATCAGAAAAATAATTGCTATTTTGCTGTGAAAAGGCAGTGCAGATAATGCAGAATACAATACTGAGAAAAAGCTCAGCTTTTTACTGAGACCAGTTATACAAAACTATTTACAGCTATGCAGAATTCTGCATTGACAACATGGGGAGAAGAAACAAGAGTAGGGTGGGGGAGCTGCTTGGTGTGAGTCCTTGCATCTCACCCAGAGGGCTGGCTGGCCAGCCAGATAGTGCTGCTTGCAGGCCTCATCAAGGGACAATTTCAAGAGATTACCAGACAGGATAAGAGTTCCTGGATGGGACAATGTGCAAAATAAGCCAGAAAGATGTGATGTGCTGAGTTTTGAGGAGACTGCATTTGATTCAAAGCAAGGGAGGAAGATGCCACAGCTCTAGCTCTAAGTGCTGTCATTGCATACTAGTTTCTTGTAGATATCCTCAGTCATCATCCCTATCAGCTCCTGCCTCTCCTTGACAGACTCTTTACAGGTTCATATTATTTTTGACAAGGCATCTGAAACTGCCTGTCCAGTTCACTTAGTCTTGCCCTTCCAGTTTTAGGATTGTTCAAATTCAGATCTCCAAGAATCAATCACTATGAGACTCTTTTCTCAATTCCAGCAGTTGTCCTGAGTATGCTTGCCATCCTTTTAGCAAAAGCAGGCTGTTTGGCTTTACCCACAGGCAAGAAAATTGAAGTGCTCAGTGTTCCTGCCTCATCTTGACAGGAGGAACCTTCCTCTCTACTACTGTGTGTTTGCCATTGCCCTCCTCTCTTGTTTGAGCCAGGAGTAGTGGTAAGCAGTGTCTGGTTTTGGGATTTCATGATCTCAGATCCATTTTCTAGAATAATGACTAACCTTGTGTGCTAGGTGTGGGAGACACAGGCAAGGCTGCTCAGTGGTGTTGGGAAGCTGACTCTGCTGGCTTCTTGGATGGCTTTTCCCTGATGAAGGGTTAGGAGGATAGCTGAGGGAGAGGTGGGAGGAAACATGCAGCTAACTGTTGATCATTCTGCTTATGACCACCCTCTGACACTGTTGCCTTGGATACCTTTGTGTTTAGCCAAGACAGCCAAAGTATACTTCAAGCCAAGCATACCTTGTCGTTGCTGATGTTCATGGTTCTTGTTGCGCTCTAAACTCCTGGACAGGCTGTCAAGAAACCTGTTCTAAGAAACATTGTAGGCATGTAGTTTCATATTTCCAAATTAAAGATAAATTTTAGCATCCTCAGTGCCTTATCAGAGGTTCAGTTCCCTGGACTGAGGAAGATGACATGAGCTCTGCATAGTTTAGCTTTTTTGTGTGATGGCCTGGCTTTGTATCAGTACCTTGATTGACTTTTCAATATTGCCAGTAGTTGGGTGCTAACACGAGAGAACAGGCTGAAACATGGGAAAGGAGAGGCAAGATCCACAGCAAGTCAGGGCTGCATGGCATGGCTAGACAGAGGCTGCCTGCCTGCTGCCTCTCAGGAAGCGGAACAGTTTATGTCTAGGGCCAGCCCTCAATGAGCAGAGGTAGCCTACCCATGTCTTGCATGCAGAAGTGGCTCTGCACACCAATGATGGCTGGACGTGCAAGGCTGCCAACTGGCATCGCACCCAAACCTTGGCAGAGTAACACAGGCTTGACACCCAGGGCTAGAAAAAAACTTTCAGAAAAAAACTGTAGCCATGAAAGAAGGCTTGAAAGCCCCGTTGACAACAGCAAAGAGCGCAGAGAACAGCCAAGCTTGTCCCCATATGTGGGCCACATTAGCCATTACAAGGCACTGGCACCGTGAGGAGGTACTGACTTGTGAGAACTTGAAACTTCCATCCAACCTTCCTTTTTCACTGTAATTGTAGCATCATTCTTTCTTTCTGGCTTGGAGGAGGTAAGCCACCCTTGGAAGTATTGGAGGACAAGATTTTCTTCCCTGTGTAATCCCCGCTGCATTATGGCATGGTACCGCTGTCCCCAGGACAGGACGTGATCCATCTTTCCATACGGAAGCCTGACACCTCAGGGCCTTGGCTAGGCACAGGTAATCCCAACTGGCTGACGTGAGAAGCTGTGATCTGAAATGTTCCTTTATAACTTAATTCCACAGCCTCTAAGTGCACATTTATGGGATGCTTTAATTCCTGAGAAGCCTTGTGAGTCATGAGCTCCTGAACAGGCTTTCGATTTCTAGGTGAGAAACTACACTGTAAATTCCCTCCTACTTATCGGAGGTGATGCCTGGGGGCCGAGCAACCGGAGTGACCGTGCGTACCTCTGCCGGGGCGCACGGCGGGGGCTGTGGCTGACCCACACGTACGGCAGGCCCCACAGGAGCGACTCTCCTGGCCTCTCCTCAGCGCTGAATTTATTTTTAAGCCGGGGCTTTATTTTAAGGCCGAAGTGACACCGTCCGGCACGCCGCGTTACCGCGGCTGCGTATGCTCAAGCCCGCCTCGGCCGGGACGCGGCTGCAAAAAAGAAATCAATCTAACTTTTGATTTCTTCTCAGATACAGTGACAGAGAATAAATCCTTGATAATTCCATCTAATTCCTGTGACCTGTCGAGATGGAAGAAATCAAACTGTTGTTGTTGATCATTGATTTAAAAAAGTGACCCTGTCACTGACAGCTTGGCTTGAAATGGTAGAAGCAATTGGCAAAATAAAAGTGATTGTAACATTAGCAGTGTGTTAGTTGGCTCAATCCTGAGCGCTGTTCCTTCCCCAGCTGCTGAGGTGAGTGAGTCCAACCTTTTGGTTGTTTTTGCCCCATTTTGTAAAATATGAGATTTAAAATTTTTGCCAAACTCTATAGAGTGGTATGGAGTTCTGCATCTCAAGTGATTTAAGAACATTTCTTATGAGGTGTTAAACAAGTAAAAAGCCCTCCTGGATGTCTTACTAGTCATTCCACAAAGTATTGTCACGTGTGCGTCTCTGGCAGGCGGGGACATCCCTCCCTTACTCAGGACCGTAAGCCAGGAGTGTCTGCCTTGGAACTGAGATGGCAGTAGCCACCATTCTGTAGCTCTGGGTGCATCTTTTTTTAGCCTAGCTGGATATTATTTTCCTGACTATAGAAATACAATGAACGTGGTTCTATGAAATTCCTTGTACCGTGCACGTTT